CACGGATGAGTATGTAATCAGGACTAAATTCCAGACAGATTGCATAGATAAAAATAATTGCTTTTGTGGTTCATTTCTGCAACACATTCTTTTCATCTTGTTCAGAACAAATGTTTCATTGATGTGGTTCAACCATTATGACAAGACTACGCTTCACCTATTGGAGCAAACTTTACTGGACACAATGTCAGAGGTGGAAACTGAACAATATATAAAAATAAATGAGGAAGTTGTTAATATGAGTCTAGATTGGTGAAACATTATACATAATTATCTTTATGTTACAGATGACGATGTTTGTCTATCATACAGAAACAACAGCTATATCAGAAAATGCCCATATATTAGAATACTTAAAAAGTAGGAGCAGTAAAAGTTATAACAAACTGAATAAAAATTCAAGTGTCAGGTGTATAGCTCTGTCAGGGTATGTTTACACAGCATGGCTAAACTCAAAACAAGCTATGCAACTTGAGCTATGTTAATTGAGTAGCTTAAGTTGATACAGCTTATTTTGAATTTGGGCACGTCTACACAGCACTTATTTTGAAATAAAACACTCTTCCTCTGACTTCCCTTACTCCTCATAAAATGAGGGTTACAGGAGTCGGAATAAGTAGTCCTCCTTCTGGACATTATTTTGATATTATGTCGAAATAACTGCTTGTGTGTAGATGCGCACTTTGTTATTTTGAAATAATGTCAATTATTCTGAAATAATGGTATTATGTAGATATGCCCTCAGAGACAAATGGAATTCAGTGGTTGACTGTTTTGAACTATTTATTAAGATCAGGCCTCTTTGATAATTTGTGAAGAAAATAATGACAATAGATGGAACTGTCACAGCTAACAGTCAAACTGAACTAAAGAGAAATGTTGAAGATAGGTTGACTACACCAAAACCTATATTTCCATAGCTAGAGCAAACTGCAAAAAGATTATTGCTGCTGTTGAAATGTGGAAAGAACTTCTAGGGTCTCTAAAGAAACAAATTCCCCAAAACAAAGTTAAATTGCAGGCAGTAAATAAGCAGATGACTGAAGCATTTACTTTGTTTATTTTTCTCTACAATATTCTCAGCTCAAAATAGCAAGGTAGATGTATAAGAACACACTACACTACTTTAAGCACCTAAAACCAGAGTTTGGTCAAGTATTAAACCAGATTTTCACTGCAGTTTCTTCGGCAGGCAACAAATATTTTCAAAGCTGCAAAACGGACTGGGAGTTAAAAAAGGAAGGGAAACTTTTTTTCAAGTCAATGAATAAAAACAAGGAGGATGAAGATGAGCTCTCTCAGGACCTGACTGGTTCCAGAAGAGAGATTTTTAAGGACCATGGAAGATCATTATTGCCCCAGCACTACCAGCCCCACCTCCTGCCCTCTTCCCTTCTCAGGCTTCCCAGCTGGGTCTTGCATCGAGCTTCCCACCCTCCGTCTCCCCACACAGTCCAGTTGAGCTGCACACACTGGCTCTTGCCCCCGCTGCAATCCAGCTGAGCTGTTTGCCAGCCCTTCCCCGCGTAGACCAGCTTTGCTATGTGCTCCTCCTTCCTCTGCATTGCACAGGTTCCCGGCCCCCCCACCTTCCACAGCACGCTGGTTTATAGAGGTGCATCCTGTAGTTTTAACAGCGTGAAAAAGAGCCTAAGTAACTTAGGAGGCTGTTGTTTCATTTTCAAGAGACTGAGGGAAGTAGGAACTTAAACGCAAGTCACTTTCAATGTAGGCATGCTTGAAAAATTTCCCAGGCTGAGATGAATTCATTGACTACTGACTAATCCTTCTGATCCTTTAGTAAATCATTCAGTTATAAATGTAAAATGCATTTTGATAAAATAAATGTACGTATCTAAAATATTTGACCATTTTGGTTTAATAAAAATACATTATGTAGTTTGTGTGTTTAAATTCTAGTTATCCTAATGTTGCCTGACACAAATGAGCAAAAAGTAAATTATCTAGTAAATAAGAATATCATCATTTTTAACATACTAAAATGTACAATAAATAAGACTGAAATAAATACATAAATAAATAAATAAATAAATATATAAAATGGTTTACTTAAATTAATAGTTATAGTGTACTCTCCTTGGTAACAGAAAGATACGCTAAATATACTTTAAACATGCTATCAGTTGTGAACAAGCATGTTTTAATGGTTCTCTCAAATAATAAGCATGGGCCTTTATTAGTAAATAAATTAAGTATAAATGGAAAAGTCGATTAAGATTAGTGACGAACTGATGCTTTCCATTTGGTGATTTAAATCAATCCACTATGTCGCCAGTGTCGAGTAACAAGAGCTGTGCCACTGTAGCACTTGTAGTTGAGACACTAAAAACCAATGGAGAGAGTTCTCCCTTGGCTTATTTACTTCCCTGCCCATTAGGGAAAGCAGTTATGTTGGCAAGAGAAGCTCACCCACTAACAGAGCAATGTCTACACTGGTGTTTATGTCAGTATAATTTAAGTCGCTATGGGATACAGATTATTCATATCTCAGAGTGATGTAAAGTATATCAATGCAAGTTGTAATCTAGACAAGATCTTAAAGGAATAAATACTACTCTCTCTTATACAACCTTTTATTGTAAGGATCTCAGTTTTCTATTCTGTAAGAGGGAAATTGGCGAGAGCAATGAGAGTCCAATTAGAGTCCACTTTTGTAGCCTATGTTCACACCAAAGCATTCTAGGTCAGATCTGGGCAAAAACATGACTCTTGCTACATTTCAAGGGCAGAGGAGCAGTGGGGAACCAGGACAGGGGAGGCAGAGGCACAGTTTCTGGGACTGGGGTGAGCAGGGTCCCAACTGCTGTACTTCTGCCTTTGAAAAGCATTTCAAAAGCAGAGGTGCAGCTTCTAGGACCGGGCGTGAGCCAGAACAGCTGAGTCCCAGCTCACATCTGCTCCCCCACTGCAACTCTGCCTCTCCTAGCCCCCCATGGAGACGGTGCTGGGGGGAAACCTGCTTCTCCCGCTGCCGATAGAGGTAGCAAAGTGGGGGGTGGGGGAGAAACTAGTCGAGTAGTGATTCGACTACCTGATAAGCTACCTGACTAGTCACTTACATCCTTACTGGGGACAGGAAAGGAGGATTTCTGGTATCTTCCACCTCACTACTTATATCAACAGCCAGCCATCACTGATTGTAGAGGATATTTTCTGGTTTGTTCTTTTCTTTCCTGCTGGAAGACTGGATTTCCACAGCGCTGTCAAGTTTGAACAAATAACTCTTGGGAATCTAAAGGAGAGATCCCTCACCACAATAAAAAAGCTCATCTTATAAGTGTTGGATTCTAAAGTAAATCTTCAAGTCCTGCTAGAACTCTGTGAAGACACTATGACAATGGTCACCAACCAGTAGATCAGGATCTACTGGTAGATCTTGGAGCCTCTGGTTTGGCTGGGAAGCTAACAAGCACTAGCACTTCAGTTGCCCCTCCACCGACTGTCATGCTGCTCCTACCCTCTGCCTTGGAGATGCCACCAAAAGCTTCCTGCTTGCTGTGAAGGGTGTGGGAGAAAGAAGATGGGGAGCGCGATGTCAGGGTATCCATCTTCCCCCCACTTCAAGTACCTTATTTCCACACAGAGAGAAGGGGCTGTAGAGAGCATGGCAATGCCAATCTCTGTCACTCTCACACTGTGTCACTGTCATTCCCACAAACACACACTGTTGTTGATACTTCTTGTACAGCTTGCAAAGTGTGCTGTTTTTGCTTTTGACTGGTCTGTGCATATCATAGTTTTCATTTCTATCTTACACTTAAATTTAATTCTTTGAGTAGTGAGTTCTCAAATGTCTAACGTGTCGTGGCTGGAGTAATTATCCCTGTGGTGCTTGTGGAAGTGGCTGGCATGTCCCTGCAGGCCCTGAAAGGCGCAGAGCAAGGAGTCTCCACACACTGTCCTTGTTTGCAGACACCACGCCTGTAGCTCCCATTGATCAGTAATGGGGAACTGTGGCCAGTAGAAGCTGTGGGCTGTGCCTGCAGATGAGGGACAGCACATGGTTCCATGGAGCCACTGCTGTACATGCCATTTGCTTTCAGGAGTGGTGCAGGGGTAGGGCAGGAGCAAGCCTTCCTAAACTCTACTACTCCACCATCCGGAAGCTGTCCCAGCCCTGCTTCTCCTCCTACACCCAACCTCCTGCCCCAGACATTAGTTCCCCTGCACCCAAACTCCTTCCCACAGCTTACACCCTGACACCCCTCCTGGACCCCAATCCTCCACCTTGTGCTAAAGCCCCACCTACATGCCAAACCCCTTGGCCCAAGAACAGAGCCTGTACTCCAACTCCCTACCTCAGCCTGGTGAAAGTGAGTGAGGATGGGGGAGGAAAGGGGATGGAGTGAGCAGTGGGAGGCCTCAGAGAAGGGGTGGAGTGGGGCAGGAAGGAAGCCGGGCAAAGGTATTTGGGTCTGAGGTAGATCTTACATTGCATTTATATTGAAAAAGTGATCTTGCGGTTAAAAAGTTTGGAGACCCAGTCCACTGAGGCATTTGAACCTTGTTATTTGTTGTTTAATTAGTTTAAAACAAAGCTTTTAAAGTTTTAAACATGATTGGGTATCACAGTCTCAACTTTACAGAGAATGCAGATTCGTACCTCACTTCAAGACCATTAATGAACTATTTAATGTAAAATATGATAACATTTTCATTATTTACCCCTCCAAAGTGTCATATTTCATTGTTTCAAATTCAGAAAAAAAAGATGATATCTACAACTGAAAATACATACTGTTGCACCATCCCAAGTAACTTATTGGATTCTAAATATATAGTTTGACTGAGTCTGCAGCTCCTTCCATTTTTTAATGGATTAATTTCATTTACTTCTTAGTAGAACTTTTAAACTGATATTAAATGTTTTCTACAATGATACCCTAAAAACAGTCATTAAAATAAACACATCAGCAATTTAAACTTTTTAGTTACAGTTCTAAAGCCCAGTGACAATGAATGACTATTCAGACACTCACCTGTATGGTTTATCAGAGTTATGAATTCGTCTGTGATTTCGTACTCCAACATAAGTTGTGCTTGTGTAGTCACATACATCACATCTATAGAGTTTCTGGACTGAAGACTTGTTTCCTGTGTGCAATACATTTCATTGTTTTAAAAATATGTTTTTTCTACTATAGGAAGTTTTAGGATGATAGTTTCAGACTGAATAGGATTATGAAACATTTTTTAACATTTTGAAGTGATACTTAACAACGAAGCAAACTAGAAATGGACAGCTACACCTAATACATGTACATTTAGCTTACCAGAGATATTCTGTATGCTCCCAGCTATTTACTAGAGCCATTAAGATTTAGGAAGAGCATTCTCTCTCAACCCAGCCTCTCCCCTTCTCTGGTTCCTGAAGTCAGGACGTAAAATTTGTAATATTATGATGCTACAGAAAATGCTGGGCTCAGCATTTTCACTGCACCGCAGAATGAAGTCAAAGGAACAGGCTGGCACTAATAAAGAAGAAAAAAATTAACAGAACAAACTAAATCAAAAGCTTCCTGAATAAGTTCTGGTTAAGAGATCCATTTTATCTCCCACTCATACGCTATCTTTTCAAAAAAGTTTGAGACTCTTTAGATTAGGTTAGGATATAAACCAGGAGTGAGGAACCTTTTTTGGTTTGGGGGCTGCTGATTTGGATGCTTTGAGGTGTAGGCATTTAAAAGGAAAGAAGAGAAACGTTTCTACTAAGATACATTGTAACAATACTATTCATACCTACTATGCAATACTTTTTCTTTTGAGTGCTGAGGCCTGGGCAAATCAAGAAAGAATGCATCATGGAAGGAAATCTAACCTGGAAATGAATGATTCTGAGGCTCAAGGACAACTCTGTTCTCCGCTGAAGACATAAGAAGGTTAAAATCTTGTAAAAACAGAGATTTCAAAACTTTTTGCTAACATGACTGTAACCAGGAAGCAGATCTCTGCCTTCCTTCACCCACCCACCCACCCACAAAAGAGTTAGATACCATCAGGTTGAATGGATACGGAGGGAGAGCTAGTAGTATTGTGAGCAGATTCCAGATGGGAAGAAAGATTTATCTTTTGGTTTGGCTACATGTTGCTAAAAGTAACCTTGACACCAGCAGGCTATCCTGGTCCATGCTATTTCCTGTAGATACCACTGGACAAAGGGAGCTTCCCTTGTCAGTACCCTGAGGAGGCATAGGTAAATATAGCTGTGGCAGCTCAATAGGAGCTAACTCTGGCGAACTGCTGCCATTTTATTGCCTACACCTACCTTACAAAGTCAGGACTGCAGTGGACCGAAGTCCTAAACTGCTGTTTCACCTGTGCTGCCAGAGTCACAGAATCTGACATGAACAGGTGTTTAAACGTTTGATGATTGTTCTATATTAACAGCGTTCTAGACCTTGTGTACAAGAGAAAGCATGTGGAAAAGATTGAATTGCTTCTTTAATTTGTCAGGACAAAAGCCCAGCCCAAATGCCTTGACCTAAAGGAGAGTTCAGGAATCAGAAAGATAAAACTGATAAAGGATACACAATAACAATATCAATAATAATATCAGAAAAGAATAAAGGCAATCTGAATGAAACTCTAAGATTTAAAGTCTCTGAAGATCCAGGTGCCGATCAGCATTTGATTATAATTACTGCCAAAGCAGAAATTTGATAGACCACCTACAATGTGCTGAGGTTACTAATACTGTTAAGAATTTTTACACATTCTTTTAATTTGTAAGCTGAAAGCTCTTATACTGTTGCAACTACAGTAAACTTCCGATAATCCGGCATCTTTAGGACCCAGGGGGTGCCAGATTATCAGATATGCCGGAGTACTGGAAGGGGGGCGATGACGGGTCTGGGGTGGGGGTGGAGTTGGCGGGGAACTGCGCAGCGTGGGAGAGGGCGGCGCTGTGGGACCAACCCAGCAGCACCGCCCCCGGCTTCTGCAAGTCAGCCGCTGGTCAGTTTCAGCAGCAGCTGACTCGGGGAAGCCGGGGGCAGAGCAGCTCCAATAGTCTGGCTGGCCGGAGTATTTCCAGGTTCCAGTTGGTGCCACACTATCAGGAGTGCCAGACCACTGGAACGAGGTGTACAAATAGTTCGGATTAGGAAGCCTAATCCGAACTATCTAGTCCGTGCCGCGTGTAGCCACGCGGCACGGGGTCCGACCTAGTCGGCATTTAAAAATGGCACCGGCCGGCTTTATGCAAATGAAGCCCGGGAAAATCAAATCCCGGGCTTCATTTGCAACTCCGTATGACTACATTACCCCCCCTAGTTCAAACTAGGGGGGTAGTGTAGACATACCCATTATGAGTGGATTTGCCAGAACAGGGGAGGTCCCTCTCCTCATGGCCCATCCTGCCCTGCTGATACCAGACTAGGGCAGTCTGACCCCACTGTTACCCCAGTGGGGCCTTCTAGCTGCCGCTGGTCCCGCTGCTACCAGGGACAAAGTGGGACAGCTGGAGCTCCACAGCAGGGTCCAGAGCTCTGCAGTCACTTAGCTCCACAGCTGGAGCTGGATCTCTGCAGCTGCTTGGTTCCATAGCCCCAGCAGGGGTTGGGGCCAGAGCTCCGCGGCCACTGTTGGATTGTAGCTTGCTGGCCACAAGAGTTGCTGGTTGCAGCTGGGGCTAGAAATCCCCACCATACTGAACTCCCTACTCCCACACTGGGCTCCCAGCTGAGTCACCAGTCCCCACTACTGCACTCCTACCCCACCACCAGACCTCCCTGGTTTTGGGCTCTGTGGTCCAGGAATATTGTCATGCCGGACCATGGATGTAGCCAGACCAGAGAGTCCCGGTTAAGGAAGGTACAACCAACCATTAATTCTGCCAGAAGAAGATGCTGAATTGACATAAAAATTAAATAATCATGTATATATACACACCTAACAAAAAGCGAACACACAACACAAGAATCACCCTCACTTTCTTGAAGGCACTTTAAACAATAAGTAGCCTAAGGCTGAGGATACCCTGCAACTCTGTCACGAGGACTTTTTCCTTCAGGCTGCCAGGAGACTCTATACTTAGTAAAGCAGAGAGGGGTCTCTGAGCTGCTCTTCCAAATTTCACACAAACCATAGATATCAAGATTCAAGGCCAACTTTGCCTTGAACAGACGGCCTCTCCAGGTGTTCAAAATCACAACATCTGAACATGTACAAGACTTTTAGTTGAGAAAGCCACGTTAATCTCAAGTCTCTGCTATGACTGGGAGATGGAAAATCTGCAACAAAATGTGGGGTGATCTATCACTTCAGTAATGCCAACTCCTTTAGAATTGAGGCTCTGATTATCCAGCACCAGCTGAGGAAGGGCAGGCACTGTGTGCATGTCAGATACATTTTTACCAAAACCCCTGCCTGCCCAACTCGCCAAAGGAGAAAGGAAACAGGGAGGACAAAAGGAATGGTATAGTACAGAACCATTTTTAGAAGCTTCAGAGGGGTAGCCGAGTTAGTCTGTAACAGGAAAAACTTGAACAAAAAATAGTCTAGTGGTACTTTAAAGACTAACAAAACATGTAGATCATGGGTAGGCAAAAGATCCTCCGTGGGTCAGATCCGGTCCACAGAGCCCCTGCTGATCCTCCACCTCCCAGGCCAATTAGGGCTTGGAGGCGGGGGAGCATGCAAAACCTCCTCCTGCCCTACCAGAGGCATGGATGCCTAGTGGGAAGGAGGGGGCAAAAGGGCTCCTCCACCCCAGACCAATCATGGTCTGGGTAGCCCTGTCCCTTCCTGTTTAGGCCCCGCCCCTTCCGGGCTGACCCAGGGCTACTTAAAATGTTTTTGAAGTGGCCCCGGGGCAAAAATTATTGTCCACCCCTTATGTAGAAGGTGGTATAAGCTTTCGTGGGTGGAAGTAGGTTGTGCCCTCTAAAGCTCATGATACCATCAACATCAGGTATGTCAAAACAGGCTTCTGGTAGGCTGCATGTGGCCCAACTGAAATTTTTTGTGGCCTGCCACTACATTTTTATAAAAGAATAAAGTGCGTCCCGCTCGCTGCTTAGAGCACGTGGCCGAGTGCAGACCACGGCTGGCTGGGTTGCTCTGCACAGGCATCAAGTGCCTGCTCACAACTAGCTGCTGTGCTTATGCCTCCCCAGCGCCTGAGGAAGAAATGTGTGACAGCGGTGACACTGGCTCCGAGACGCAGGTATTAGGTATGGGGGAGGGAAGGAGTTGGGAGTGCCTGATTCTGGGGGAGGGAGGAGGCACTGGGTTAGAAGGGGGGGTGCTTTGGAGAAGCGGAGGGGAATTGGGTTAGAATGGGGATATGGGAGTGCCTGGCTCTGGAGGAGTGGAGGGAGATATTTTGTTAATGTTTTGGGTTTTATTTATTTATTTCAAAATAAAATCACAAAATATATATTAATTTTATATCAAATATATGTCAATTTTTTGCAATTGCATGAATAATTATGTTTATGCAAAATCTCAAACTTACAAAATATCTGTAATTTTCATAGAAGCCTGTTCTATTTGATTGACCATGGTCTATACTTATTTTTATTTCAAAAAACAACTTATGTATAATCTACAAAAATTAAAAGTACATTACATTTATAATTAAATTAAAAATTATTTTATGAGTGAGTAAATAATTTTACACATCAAATTATTGTATTATATTAAAACAAGACATGAAAAATATTATAAAATATACCTAAAACAATCTGTAACAACAAATAATTACAACTTTCCAATAGAAATACATTTTCTTTGGTGTCCCTGAAAGCTATACGTTTTCATTTGTGTGGCCCTCAGTGGGCTTCAAGTTTGACTTGCCTGATCTATATATCTATTAATCTTTAAAATGTTATCAGGCTATTATTTTTTAAATTTTTCCTTTTGTTATAAAGTATCTTTTATTTTACAAATATTATAAGTAACCCCAATGCCCCCACCTCTCCTGCAAGGCCAGCC